CCAAGTCAGCAAACCAGATACGCCTTGTTCCTGGGAGTTTTCTTTTGTATCATGGACTCCAGCTGTGTTCATAGTTCATGAGCATTGATGAACTGGGATATGTACTCAAAGAGGCTTTTGTCAATTTATTTTCTGATCATGGTCATGGCCTTTCTGTTCACGATCTCCTATTCTTTTTTGTTTCTGTCTTCTGGTATCTCAACAGTGGGGATGAGCTTGTAAAGGTCTATGTAAAATAGATGATCTTCCATCATTGGTCTTCAGTGTGTAAAGTTTTCTGCAGTCAGTTTGAACATGTCTCCGCATGTGAAATAATGTTGTTCTTCATCTTGTCTAGTCAGAACTCTTCAAACTCGGACTATGATACCACTGTTGGAACGGAGTCCCTCAATCAACTTGGAAGCAAGCCACAGGTCGGCCAAATCGCAAAAAAATAAATAAATAGAAAATGCAAAAATGAGAGGTGGAGAGAAAAACACGCAATAATTTTAACGCGAAAAATCTCTCCTGATGCAAAGGAGTAAAAACCATAAGACTTTGTTCATAAAATTTTTCACTATGAATATCAGGATTACAAAGAATCAAGCTTCCCTAGTCAAACTAGAGATATACTCAAATTTCACCAATAATTGTGGCTACAAGGTTCTTCTCTAAAGAGGTATCACACTCAAGAGGATTCTTGTAAGAACCCGCACCGTTAATTAAGGTATTTAATTAATAAATTACGAGAAAATAAGAAATGATTCCATAATTGACCCTAATAATTATTTATGAGGCTTAATAATCGTAATAAGTGATTAAGAATGCTGAAAGTCACTTTTCGGAAGAAAAGTGCAGATACCGGTTCTGCTAGTCGGTATAAATGCGTGCCGAAAAAGTATCCCGGAAAATTAATGTAAGTGCATGATAATTACTAGAATAATATGTAGGACTTGTAAAACGAGTTTCAAGTCCAGATAATGAGAACTGGTGCTGGAAACCGGTACTGGCTTGGAAAAGCGCGTACCGGAAAAGTGCTCAGAAAATTATAAGAAAAATATCATAAATCTTAGAAAATTATGTAGTTTCATAATCCAAAGTTTGGGATTAAAATGCTAAGCGTAGCAATTAAAGTTAATACTGTATGTTTAAGTGCGTTGGGCTATATATACTCCTTTTAAGGGCACAAAACCCTAGATACCAGACTTTGAGCGTGAGTTGTTGGTGGAGGCTGACCAGTTTCTGTTCCTTTGGCCTTCTCCCTCATTCTTGAGCCAAGTTGTGACCTTTATTGGTTTATTTCACCCTTTCTTCTTGTATACACTTGGGTGGTGACTTGTGAGTGTGGAGAGTGGGCTTGGGGGAGTGCTCAGCCACTGTTGGTGAGGGGTTTTGGGGCTGACTTGGTTGGATTGGTTGTGAGAAGCTTGGCTTTGGTTTTTGGAGGTCCAAGTGGGGAACTTTGCTATAAGGAACCAACCTTTATGGTGCTATTTTCGTGCACATCTTTGAGTCAGACTTGAGGGGCTGTGTTGAGCTCCAAGAGCATCTCCTTTCTCTGTTTTAAGCCTTTGGTATGTATACCAACCTTTGATCATGAGTTTAATGCTTAAAAATAAAAGCTTGATGCATGTTAAGGCGTAAAGATGATAACTTGTTGTGGGGTAATGTTGAACACACCTAGAAATGCATGTTTAGGTGTTTTAAATCGTTAAAAACCCAACCTTGGAAGGATATCTTCACGAAATGCATTTTCTGCATTCTGTCATGAAATATCCGGATATGTGCCCGATGAATATCCGGATATGTGATATCCGGATATGGGTTTTGTGTATCCGGATACTAGGTATCCGGATATGGGATTATGGATATCCGGATATTGCATATCCGAATACGTCCAGTGAGATATCCGGATATTGCATATCCGGATATGGTCCCGAGGAATATCCGGATATTCTGGGATTTCGTAGAACAGTAGCTGTGCTGTGTGTACAGTAGGCTATTGGGGGTTTGTGGACCCTAGATTGATGAAGTTGAACTTCTGTATTTAATGGATTAAGCCAGAATCATGGGATTAAGGGCTTGTGGCTTTGTTAGAAGCTTTAAGACTTGAAAACGTAATGAAAAGGCGTTGTCTTTAAGTTTTATGCTTGTGTTGCATTATTATTGATATAGTATTTGTCCATAACAGATTGTGAATCTGCTGTGTTTGGACTTTGAGCTGTGGACTCTTGGCTTTTGGAGTTAGCTTGCAAGGTAAGCTTTCGTGTCCTCGGTTTAGCCATGTTGTGGTTCCACCATGTCCCATGGGGGTATGGTTTATGCATGCTGTGTACATGCTTTTGGACATTTGATATGTTGATTGAACTTTACATGTAATGGCTTTTAATATGCATGTGTTGTTTCATCTTGATGGGAAGCCTGAGTATGTAGCGCCATACAAGATGGTGTACCGGGGTGAATGCAAGTGGTACCTGCACTGTCTCTGGCCAGTAGATTAGTATTGACACACATGACATGATTATCTGCTGCATTGCATTGTTTTTGAAATGATAAATGATAAACTGCTTTTGAACTTATATTGCACATGTAAGTGAGCTTGGGGTGGAAGATCCTTGAGGACTCACTGACTTACTGAGATTTCTAGATTAGAGATCTTACCCCACGTTTGGGGAATGCTTATTTTAGGATCAGGTAGTATGGGTACTGATGCCTCAGGCGGCGGGAGGCCGGAGCTTAGCTGATTTTGTTGTTTCTGCTTATTTGTTAGCATGACTGGATTTGGATGTTGTTTATGTTTTTCGCTATTTATGATATGATGTTGTTGAGACTGATGTTGGGCATGTTGCCTTATTTGAGTGAGCATGGGGATTGTCCATGACACTTTCTGTTAGTACTTGTAGTTTGGAGTTGTATAAACTGTTAGATGGTCCGGTCTACGTTGTTGTAGTTCCGTGACTAGAGCCACACTTATATTATCTATGTTATGAGGTATTTCAGTTAGCTGTTTTATTGCAATTACATACAGACGATGTTTTATTAATTGATTATTAAGCAAGTTGGTAATGTTAATGGCATCATAATTGAAAAGAAAAAGTAAATCCGCATTTTAATTAAGCGCAGCTTAATACAATATTATGATAACATTACCGGATATATACGGGGTGTTACAATTCTCGTTTAAAAAACTATCTGACCGTATACAAAGAGTTTCCATATCTTTGTATGGCCAGGTGAGGTGAAACCTTCCACATTCTTTTAGAATCTTCATCATAATGAAGTATATAGCTTTCATTGAAGTGGTTGTTCAGACATTAAGTCATGCACTAATAAATATAGTGCATGCTTAGCCACCAAACACTAATGAAGGAACACACCCTAACTTGAAACTTAATAATAGTTGAAGTAACAAAAATTGATAAAGAAGGACATAATATATATATATATATATATATATATATATATATATATATATATATATATATAGGGAAGAGTTATATTTACAAATTTTTTGTTTACAAATTTTTACAAACTATATTATGTACTCCCAGAAGTACACTAGGTTACACTATATACATCCAGGAGTACATAGTGTAATTTGTAAAAATTTATAATTTTTTTTTATAAATGAATCAATTCTTATATTTATATATATAATCATATAAATGCTCGAAGCTAACCTCGATGTGCTTAAAAGCCATGCCATAAAGGGCCAACCACAATTTCCCTTTAAATATATAATCATGTAAATGCTCGAAGCTAACCTCCATGTGCTTTAAAGCCATGCCACAAAGGGCCAACCACAATTTCCCTTTAAATATTCCATGACAGAGGCTTTATACTTAATAATAAGCCCATAGTGACAGAGGCTTTATACTTAATAATAAGCCCATAGTGACAGAGGCTTTATACAGAAGAACTGGAGCGGGCGAGAAGGAAAGGTTCACTTTAATTGTCAATACAAGTAGAAAGGATATATAATATTATTTTGCTCCTAGCGTTTTCGAGAAGTATGATAGCATCGTTACAAAGGAAAATTAGTTAATATAAATGATGATAGTTCAGTTGGAGGAAATTAAATAAGTGGAGGTGAGAATATGTGTTCAATTCTTTTTAGTACTGTTTTTGAGAAAGATTTGAAGTCTTAATCTCAAGACTCGCTCCGAATCAAACATTGAACCGATTATAATATTTCAAAAGACAAAAAATTAGTTCATGCTTCTCTCCTCAAGAATTAAATAACCCCGTTATCCCAAAAAAAAAATTAAATAACCCCGACTCTGTTTGCCCAAGGAAGAATCACAAAATTTGTAATCTAGGTTTCATTTTTATTATAAAAAAAGGTACTCCTTAATTAATTACATCAACCGACCTTTGTCATGTATGTGTTGATGTTACTATTTTACTCTGGTGATTAAATATTTGCCTTTGATGAAAGAAAATAAAGGAGAGTTCATATAGAGGAGATAATCTAGTTATTGAGTGTTGTGTTTGTTTTTTTGGTTATTGACCTCGTTTTCTATATAGGGATGTGCATGGGTCGAATCGAACCGGATTTTTTTGAAAAAAACCGAACCGAATTGGTTTAAATGGTTCGGTTCGGTTCGGTTCGGAAGTGGTTCGGAACCGGTTCGGAAGTGGTTCGGAAGTGGTTCGTGTCGACCTTCTTTTAAAAAAAAAATTAAAAATTTAAAAAATAAAATTATAAAAATTAATTTGGTTTGATTTGAAAATGGTTCGGTTCGGAACCGGTTCGGTTATTAAACCGGTTCTAAAAACCAGTTCGGTTCTTAAATTGGTTCTAAAAATCGGTTCGGTTCTTAAACCGGTTCTAAAAACCGGTTCAGTTCAAGAACCGATTCTTTAAAAACCGGTTCGGTTCATGAACTAATTTTTAAAAACTGATTATTTTATGGGGCGGTTCGGTTCGGTTCATGGTTCGACTCACTTTTTTGGTTATTTTGGACACCCCTGTTTCTATATAAGGGGAAAGGTGGGTCGTCCTTGAGCCATTGGTTCAGTCACAAAGTGGAAAACAGCTCCCCGGGGAATCTCAAAGCGTTCAAGGTACTCTCTTCTCTGATATATTATGCTTTATATTTCGATGTACTCTCCCCAAATCTCAGACTACTTCAATGGCTTTTCCGTCTCTGTTTCTGCCATAACTCGTAAGGCTATCTATGATCTACTCTTTATTGCATCTTTTAGATAGTTTTTTAATTTTATTATTATTATTATTCTGTGAATCTCACTTAATAACAGAAACTTCGAGTGTGTTAACGAAAACATGTAAAGAAATAGATCTTCTCATATTAAAAAAAAAAAACATAGTCACGTGGAAGATCACAACTATATAAAGATAAATTAACAGTTATAATTTCGTAATTATTTATTTTAACATTTTTTCTCTCTCCTCTTTTATTATCTTTAATTCACTTTTTGCATGATTATGATTTCTCACATGACATAATCACGTGAATTTTCACATGAGAAGATCCAGATCCAAACACTACAAGCATTTTTGCTCATAAAAAAGATAAACTTGCTTTTTAGTGCAAGTACAAGGAAGACTCATCAGTAAACAAGCCTCTAAAATTAAACTTATGTCAAAAGAATTAAAGACAAGTTAGGTTAAATTTAGTGTGTTTAGATTACTTTTTTTTTTTGGTATGCTAGATTACTTATTTTTTATTCATGATGAATTTGGATCATCTAATGTTTTTGAATAAGTAGATATGATTTTATTGGAAATAAAAAAAGACACATTTTTTTTTTTTTACAAGAATGGTAGAACACACTCATGTTATCTAGGATTTCCGGAAAACTGAATTTTCTCTAGATTCTCCTAAGCCGTTTGGTATGCAGTATTCTCCAGGATTTCTGGAAAACTAAATTTTTCTAAATTTTTAATTTTTGAATATTATCGTAAACTAAATGTAAAAATCATATTTCTGAAAATCGAGATTTTCGGATAAAAAAAAAATTCTCCTCTACCAAACGTTCCATATTGATAAAATATTTTTGATACGTTCTTTATCATTGGGTAAGTTTAAGATGGGTCTCACTAACCTGAGCCGACTTTCTATTTAGTAATATTCACCTGAAATTCACCTAAAAATAAAATGTTTATTAAAAAAGTGTGCAACCAATATAATGTGTGGTTAGAGTTTCTCTCTTTTAAATACAAGTAACGAACCGTACAACCAATTATATTTTATATTTTCATTATAAGAATTGTGTCTTTCCTTTTGCAATAATATAATGGAAAAAATAGTTTTCATGTTGTAAAAAATTCTTATATTATGAGCCTTTGATTTATGTGTAATTTTTTTTTTTTAATTAGTACGCAGCTTACCACTAATTTAGTCACAACATAAGAAAATAATTCTTATTCAACATGAGAAAATCAAAACTCTAATATCATATATTGTCTGATATTGAGAACAATGACCTAAATACCATGTATTTCTAAAAAAATTGTCAAAATGGCAAGGGAATAGTACTTTTTACTGGACTACCATGCGTCCAAGTTCATTACCAATCATAATGAACTTGGTTAGGCCGCGTAACATATTACCATGAGCATATCACTAGTAACGAATTTAGTCCGGTCACTTTTTTATTGTAAAATATGCACATGTCACGAAATCATAAGTAACTAAGTTAGCTACCACTAGTAACAAACTTTTTACACTAATGAAAATATGTCATGTGAACTAACCAAATTCGTTACGATTGACAGTGAATTTGAACGCGTGACAGTATGATATAAAGTATGACTGATGTGCTATTTGAGAAAAAAGTTTGGGAAACTGAAACACTTAGGTCAGTGTTCCCTAATATTGAATAATAAGAGAAGATTCAAATCTGTTTACAATTAAAATTTTATTGAGAGATCTGTTTGAAAAGAAAAACTCTCTTAAAAGTGACGGCAGATAGAGTCACCCTTTAAATATGAGCAATGAATTTGATGAATTTAAATGGCTAGCGATTTGGACGCAGGAAAAGCAGAGGATAAAGCCCAGCAAATATGATGATGCCCCCGATTCGGATCCCGAATCTGACAAGACCTAAACGACGTGAGGTTAAAGCACATGAAAAGGAAAATAATTTAGATTTGTTAAAAGCTGTGTATGATTCAGTGAAATATGATGCCCCAGCAACTGCAACCGCTTGGATAAAGAGTAAGAATGAGCTTTTAAAACAAAAGAGCCCAATGGGCAACACAGTGCTACATATAGCAGCCATGTATGGAAAAAATGACTGGGTGGAGATTGTAGCTAATGAAAAACCAGACCTTTTGGATGCCAAAAATGACAACGGTGATACAGCAATGCATGTTGCTGCAAGAGCAGGACAAATCTCAACTCTTGAGAGGTTGCTTAATTTATTCATTCCATTCCAATATTATCATCCTCTGAATGAATTCGTAGAAAAAACCAACGCATATACTTCCTTTCACGAGGCCTTATCAAACCTTTTGGCTGCCTTACCAGTTAGTCTTTATCAAATTCTGGATAAAGTTCTAGAAAAGAACAAGCAAGGAAACACTTTCCTTCACGAGGCTTTATTAAATGGTCACAGAGATGTAATGGGTGTTCTAAGTTCTCCGGAACATGATCAGTTTAAAGCTGTTTTGTTGGGATTGGTTGAGCGAGTTTGCTTCTTTATGACCAACAACGAAGGGAAATCAGTTGTGCACTTGGCGATTAAGAAAGGTTACGAGGATATTGTTGATCATGCTTTGACCAAATTTATCAGCCAAGACTCTCCATTGGGCAACTTTAGGATTGAGAACCACGATGAATTTGCCGAAATGATCGCGCACCACTTCTACTCTGTTCCAGATCGAAAACAACCGTTTGATGAACAGAGTCAATGTAGGTACATGTTGCTCTGTATAGCTTCAAATTTGGATTTGGATTCTCTCGTCTTTAAAAATATCAGATCACAACTATTTATTGATAATATAATAAAAAAGAAAATAATATGACCATATGATCACTTTACTACTTTTAAACATGAGAGGATCCAAATCTTTCAAATTTAATCTCATCTCTTGGAACATTCTTTTTCCTTATTTTGACAGGGACTCAGTAGCTAGGGAGAGTAAATAACATTCATTTTAAATCAATTCCATCTATTTACATTAAGCTATTCTTTTATCCCCTATATCTTTCATGTATCTTAAATGAAAACGTTGCGAAATTTTCGTAATTACATATACTAATACATGTGCAACCCAATTATCAGATGTTGGTTTTTTTAACTCGTATAGTGTTACAAGTTCTACATTGGTTTCCTATACAATTAATGTGGTTTATAAGACCTTGGACACTTCCTTCCTTTGAGCTAATTTTTGGAGTGGTGACTTCAAGGTCGGCGATCTATGGATTAAGGTGCAATACTTCTCAAAAGAGTTTTGTACTGAATATTAATAGATGAGTGAAGCAGCCAAAAGAAAAAGAGATGATAATGTTATAAGTTTTACATTGATTGCCTATACAACTAATTGACCTTCATAAGGCCTTAGATACACTCTCACTCTTTGTGCTAGTTTTTGGGGTATTGACCTCAATGTTTGGAGATTTTTTCTCCTAGCTCCTAATTATAAGTTCATATGTCAGGGGCAAATGATGATTCGGAAACGGAATCGTTCGATACGGAATTCAGCCGAGACTTTACGATAGAGGCGTCAATTGAGAAATACAAAGAACTGGTGGAATTGATTCTGTGCGGCTCCAGTTATGTACCACCTGGAGAATCACTGCTTATTGTGGCAATTTTAATAGAACATGAAGGTACTTTTTGTTGCCTAACTACAAATCTTCATTCATTTTTTACTACTCGCTTTATCAAGTTTAGAACAACATAAGGTCACTCTATTATTTATTTATGTTTGTCATGGCAACCTCGACTACTAATTAAATTCATTCTATTCCATTACTCATCAAGCAAGCCATTCGCAGCATTGTTGGTTAACTTTTTGTGTGAACATTAATATTTGCAATTATTTCTAATTATGGCAGGTATTTTGGAGACCATACTGACAAAAAAGAAAGAATGGATCCATTTAAGGGATGAAAAAGGAAGGACTGCTCTTCATTATGCAGCATCAATTGGTTACGTAGAAGGTGTTGAGTACTTGCTTAAAAATTGTATATCCTGCAGCATGGAAAGAGACAAGTTCGATGGTTCTTTTCCACTTCATATGGCTTCTGCAGGAGGGCATGCTGAAATCGTAAAGAAGTTGTTAGGACACTGTCCGGTTCCCAGAGAAATACTTGACAAGAATGGCCGTAATATTGCTCACGTAGCGGCTATAAGTGGACAGTTTAAGGTGGTACGGTACATCTTGGAAACTCGTGAACTTGCAAAGATGATAAATGTCAAGGATGCCAAAGGAAACACTCCCTTGCATTTGGCCGCTATGTTTTGCCATCCCAAAATTGTGTATGACTTAACATGGAACCCGAAAGTGAAACTCCAGTTGATTAACAGTATGAATCAAACAGCTCTTGATGCATTTCAGCAAAATCAACGAGGAAGACCCACCCTTCGGCAGGCAAGTATATATATCTAACTTCCCTAAAAGGTTAAATTAAATTAGAATTCTAGTTTCTATAATATGCATTAATTTTTAATTTAGTCATCATAAATTTTTCCCTTTCTTAATTAGTTTTCATTCTTAAAATTGTTTTTAAGCAAGCTTTATTACTAATTTCCATGTTAGCACCGTCAATTATGTTCCTATTAGATATTTTACGGATGAAAGAACACCTAACATACACCTAATATTACGTTAAAATTTATATGTGCAAAACAATGAATAACAAAAAAACTAGAAAACAAATATGAGTCTTTTTTTTCTCATGTTGTAGGAATTTCTACAATCGTTTTTTAATTATGTACTAAGAGTAGTACATAGGTAAAATATTAAAGTTATTTTTTTTCTTCAACTTTAATATTATAATTATGTAATGTCATTAGTACATAATTAAAAAAATAGTTGCAGAAATCTCTACTGATAAACCTTTTTGCCAACAAATATTTGTGGTAAACAACAACTTCTACACGTTGAGAAAATGAGTTAGTTATCTCCTGCTGAGTAACTTGTTCTCATACATAATACAAAAGTGATTATGTCACTGAGAATTTGAGTTTAGCACAAGCTTTTCTATAATTAACATAACTATTTTGGTTATAAAATATGTACTTTTATAATATGGTTATTTCTGTGTAATTTTTTCAAGACTGAAACTTCATTTAGTTCCTTTCGGTGATTTGGCCTTAATTTAGTTCATCAAAGATTAATTTTTGCAATGTAATGCCTCAGACATCAAAATCTACCTCAAATATATTGACCTCATGATTATACTAAGGGAAGGATTTTTAACACACATAAACATGTATTTGCAGCGGCTAACATTTATCGCATTAAGATCTGCTGGCGTACGACGTACTCAAAAAGGGTCATACCTTCTCTCTCCCTCAATGGATCCCTTCAAAGACAGAATCAACACTCTTATTCTGGTTTCGACCCTTATAACTACAATATCATTTGCCGCAGGTTTTACTTTGCCTGGTGGCCATAATGGCTCTGATTCAGGACAGGGCATGGCCCTCATGGTACATCGTATGTGGTTTCAGCTATTCATTTTGTGCATAACAGTATCAATGTACGGTTCCATTAGTGTCACTATCATACTCATTTGGGCTCAGTTGGGAGAATCACATTTGGCGCTTCTTGCCCGTGGTGTGGCTATGCCTCTTTTAGGGATCACTCTTACAACTCTATCTGTAGCATTCTTAGCTGGTGTTCACCTAGTTATAACTGATCTCAATTGGCTGGCCACTACAGTCATGGTCATGGGTGTGACTTTCATTGTCATGCTTTTGTTACCCTACACTCTTCTCTGGTTCCCCTCAGATTCAACCTTCCAAGTAATCCGACACATTTCTCACTATCCTTTTTTGTTTCTGACATGGTTTGCTGAACGCAATGAAACCAAAGGTACGTAACCGCACACATATATGATCTTTGCATCTTAATTGCGGTATTATATCATATTAGTTTGGTACTCATAATTGTGTTACCCGAAATATCTCGTTCATATGTGTTAGAATTGAATATCCACACAGATGCAAGAGACAACCACACAAGAGTATCTATAAAAAAGCTTTTCTTTTCTCTTCTTGCTTTCTTGCTCTTTCTCTCTTTCTCTTGATCTATTTGATCTACTTGATCTACTTGATCTCTTGATTTACATTTCATACAAACTATCAAAGGCTATTTATAAGCTCTGACATAACTGACTCATTAATATTCTAAGTGACATAACTGACTCATTAATATTCTAAGTGACATAACTTCAAACTCATTAATGTCCACTAACACAAACCTAAGGACATGACTCTTCACCAGAAAACTCTTCACATTTCTATTTTCTATTTTCTGTTTTATCTCATTAAAATTTAACCCAACAAAACTCCCCCTTAAATTTTAATTCTTCTTTTTTGAATTTTCCACCGGTTGATTTTTTTTCGCGCTGCTTCCATGTTGCACTCCTTTCTTCAATTTTTTTTTTGTCCGGCGGTTCCTTCATTGGTGGAAGATAGACAATCTTGAATTTTTCCCCGTCGACCTCATCCTCCGATATACTTCCACATCCATTCTTACACGTATGATCATCACACAAGTCATCATACTGATCAGTATCTGTATCACTATAACGTCCCATTAGTTTTACAACACCTATGCCAATTTTAATACTTTCATATTCAACATGTGCTACGTTAATAGCACGTTGGGTCTCTTTAACCACAGTAACCCCATCACTCATTGAGGACTGTTGATTAACATCATCAAGCAAATAACTCAACGCCTATGGTTTTTCAACGCATCATTTTCTGATTCCGCCCCACGATCTTCTTCTGGTTTACGCTTAAGCCAAAATGATTCCGCCATAAGAGTAACTCTAGGCTCCTCATCGCCGGGTTCCCTATCCACAATCACATCTTCCATTTTTCCGCTCTCAGTTTCTTCATCACCGGGTTCTTCTTCAACAAGTCCAGCTTCCACGCGCCTCATCGATAGAATCTCACACAACCGTCCTCCAGGGAAATGGTCTCTTTTCGGTGGAGTCGACATCTTCCACTTCCACCATGAATTCAATGCAGTCTCCGACTTCTGACTTTCAACCCAAACCGCGCCTATGTCGGTCTCCGACATCAACCTCATCACGCCGGGGTCGAGCTCTTCTCCAAAACATGAACTCGGTGATTTAGCCGGGATCTCCCCCATCCCGGTTATCAACACGGAACTCAGATTCGCAGTCTCCTCCAAGTCGGTCTCCATCAAGCATCTCGGATTCCACGCTTCTCGTTCCTTTGCTGGCTTCTCAAGCTCCTTCGACATCTCGTCTTCTTCCTTATCCTCTCTATCCGGCTTCTGAATTGACTCGCCGCTCTCAGCATCTTTGATCTCGGCTCCCATAGCCGCAGTCATCGTCTTTTTCTCTGATTCATCTCTCTCACGCTCCAACGAGTCGATCTTCTCCACGGATACGTTGCCGTTGGCAACCTCGGATTCCGCCATCTCGGTCTCTTCTTCATCCGCATCATTTTCCTCATCTTCATCATCATCATTGAAGATTTCATCTTCTTCATTAATCAGATCAAAACGTCCAGGCAAGTATTTTGTTACGAAGGCCATTAGAAAATCCTTCCACATATTATTAAAGTCGCGGCAGTTCCATGTACGGAACCATTTGATTGCGCTTCCTCTGAGTCTTCTCATGGCTACCTGCCATTTGTTCTCCGTCCAGATTTTTTCTTTCCGAAAATGTTGCTTCAAACAGAGAAGCCAATCTAATGCTTCATCCTTATCTCCATGGAAGAGTGACACTTCCATCTCGTTCTTTTCCTCCATAGCCCAAGCTCTGATACCAAATTGTTAGAATTGAATATCCACACAGATGCAAGAGACAACCACACAAGAGTATCTATAAAAAAGCTTTTCTTTTCTCTTCTTGCTTTCTTGCTCTTTCTCTCTTTCTCTTGATCTATTTGATCTACTTGATCTCTTGATCTACATTTCATACAAACTATCAAAGGCTATTTATAAGCTATAAAACTGACCAACATAACTCCACACATAACACCTCATTACTTTATAACTGACATAACTGACTCATTACTGACATAACTGACTCATTAATATTCTAACTGACATAACTTCAAACTCATTAATGTCCACTAACACAAACCTAAGGACATGACTCTTCACCAGAAAACTCTTCACATTTCTATTTTCTATTTTCTGTTTTATCTCATTAAAATTTAACCCAACAATATGCGTGTCAATTGCGATAATGTACTTCGTGCTAATTGCTATTACTCTTTCCTTTTAATAAATGACTTTAATTGATAAAAGCTATCAATGTAGAATAATTTTATAGTAAAATTATATTCCTTTTTAATTTATCATTAATTGTTAAATCACATTTTCTTAGTAAGTAAAACAAAGGCAACAAATCATATTATTGTGTTAAAATGTTTATGGCTCATGTTTCGTATATTGATGAGGGCCCTTATTGGCGGGGTCAACAGAAAGGTAACGGGTTCCGGGAAGCCGCCTTGGCAGGGTCCGGGGGGCAGCGCCCCAGGCCTATAGAGGCTAGATACTGTTGTGAGCCTCTGATTTATTGTAATTTTTCTTTTTCTTAATAGTTTGGGTTTGGACTCATAAATAGCTGTTGTTAGGATTTTTTAATCTTATTTATATTCTCCTAGTAAATCGAGTGACTTGTAACGAGTGGCGGTGAGAAGAATATAGTACAAACAAGATAGACGTAACCTAAATTGGGTGAACCAGGGTAAGTCGCCGTGACAAAATACTCTCTTCTCTTTCTCTTTTATTTTTCGATTTGTGTGTGATTGTCGATTTCTAACAATTGGTATCAAGAGCTTTGGTTTTGCAACCGGGGTTCTTGTGGCAGATTGGGGTTTCACGATTTAGGGTTTTTTTTTTCTTAGCGTAGAGAAAACTGCGAAATTGATCTGGAAAGGATGTCGATTAGCCAATCACGGGTCGAGGTTGAAAAGTTCTAAGAAAAGGGGTTCGAGTTATGAAAATTGAAGGTGGAGGCTTTGCTCGTTGACAGGAACATATGGTACGTGATCGGAGATGAAAAGCCATCGGTACCAACGAAAATTCTCGGTGACAGAACATCGAAGGAAGGCGAGTCAAAGGAGTTCATGGCGTGGACCAGAGACGATCAAAAGGCGCAAAGCCTGATCTGGTTATACCTGGCAGATAACGTTCTCGTGAACGAAACTTCTGAGAAGGCCACGAAGGATCTCTGGACAAAGTTAGGAAACCTCTATCAAAGCAAGTTGCTCGTGAATAAAGTTTTCTTGCGAAGGAAGATTTATAATTTGCGGATGAGCAAAGGTGATTCTTTCTCTGCTCATTTAAATAAATTTAACACAATTTGTGCACAACTTTCATCTATAGATATAAATATGGATGAGGAAGATAAATTTTGCACCTTGTTGTGTTCACTGCCCAACTCTTGGGAGCACATCATTGTGTCAATTGGTACTGGTGTTAATAAATTGTTTTTCAAGACGTTTTTTTCTGCCTTATTGTTTGAGGATATAAGAAGGGTAGGTTCTGAAGGTACCAACAATGAGGCTCTGGTTGTTAGAGGGAGGAGTGGTGACAAATCAAAGTTTGGTCACAGAGGAAGATCGAGGGGACGATCAAAGTCCCGTGATAAATCTGAAGTGAGGTGCTAGAGGTGCAAACTGATTAGACATCTGAGGAGGAATTGCTGAAATAAAAGCGTAGGTCCTCTTGAGAAGCGGGATGATACACCATATTTTGGTTTTGGTACAAAGAAGGATGATGGAGATAGTGCAGGGGATCTGCACATGGAATTCGACAGTCATAGTGACTGCAAGGACTGGATCATTGACACTGGAGCATCGTTCCATATGACACCTCATTGGGAGTGGTTATGCACTTGTGAATTAGATTCTGGCAGAATGGTCAAAATGAGAGATGATACAACTCATGCTATTGTGGGGCATGGAAAGGTAAAGGTGAAGATGAATGACGAAACAATCAAGAATCTGCCGGATGTGATGCATATTCTGAGGCTTACCAAAAATCTTATCTCCGTTGGAAGTATGGCAGATGCAGATATTAATTTCAGTAGTGATAAATATTCTTGCAAGCTGACTCAGGGAGCTTTGGTAATTTCAAAAGGATAGCGCCATGGTAAAATGTGAAAACTGTTGGGCAGCACAGTGTTCAGTTTTTTTTTGTACAAAAAATGAACACTAAAACAGAACAGAACTACATCTCACTGACCATTCTAGGCCAAGCAATGCCCTTGTAGTCCCTACTAAGCAAATATATACAACCAACAGGAGGGGACTCAAAAAAACTAGTCTCCCACCCCATACTACTAGCTATACCAGCAAGATAATCTGCTACACCGTTCCCTTCCCTGTACACATGAATTACCTTCACCTGCCAATCATATCTCAGCATCTGGTTAATCCTTTGAATAAAAAAAGCAAGGGGATGGCTTGGAAGACAGCCATCCTTCACAATCCTTTGTTCTATGCTAGTTGGAGTCCCACTAGCAGCCCCCACACTTCTGCCTTAAATGAGTTGCCTCTTCCCAGGTTCTTCGCAAACCCCATAACCCATCGGCCTGTATCTTATCGCATCACACCACCACACCCACTCTGGCCATTCTGTTGAGCCATCCACATTCACCTTAACCCATCCAGATAGAGGAGGATCCCAATGGACCAGAACTTCAATTTTAGGATTCTTCAAAATACCTACAGTCATATATAATGCATTAGCATCCATATAGTTAGAAAAATAAATGCAAGCATTTCTAGATAGCTCCTCCACACTTGATCTTTGATCTTCAAAAACAATTCTGTTCATGTTCTTCCACAATAGCCAGCAAGTGATGCCAAATAAGATGC